CACAGCTGCAAATGGCTGCATGGGGGAACTATTACCCTATCAAAATTTGTGTCAGGTGTAAAAAAATGGTGTCAGCCAGTGTTTGGAGGCTAGCAACTTTGCTCAGACCAGAGAGATGGATGCCAGCATAGGTTGAGCACACAATTTCTGCAGGACTCTTAGTCACTGTCACTCAAGGAGCAAAGGCTCATGCTCAAGTCTCTTCAGGCTAATGAAGAGGTTTCCCTTCTGGTCTTCACTTACAACAGCTGCTGGAATGCTACTGTATGTATAATTCAAAAATCTATGTATATGAAAGGTGATTTTCTCTTGTCACTTTATAGTACTGTCTTTCAGTATAGATCCGTTTTGCCTTAGACATGTCTAAACGATAGCCTCAGATATTATTTGCAAATACATTTTTCTTTGCGACTTATTAGTAAAATGTGAAGTCTTTCTGACACATCATATTCACGTAGGAATTACTGTGATGAAAAGAGCAGAGATCAGTTGCACTACATGTATTCTGAGAAAATTGGGGAAAGGCACCATCTAGTGCTCTCTTTGTAGTATTGAAAGAAACGCTGAAATCGGTCTCATTTTTCTTGTGGCTATATTTACTTCCCTCCCAAGTTTGGGCTTGGCCAGGAGCTAAGTAAATTCAAATCTTAGCAGCACAATTATTTATATGACTTACCAGCAATACTTATCCCATCCAAAATAGAAGTTTCAAGTAGGCAATCTTTGATTTCATTTTGTATGAAATTTCTTCCAAAGGACTTATGGAATATGGAAGTAAAGATTTCAAAAGCAAGTGCAACCTGGAGTGATTCCCCTCCTCCCCCGTTAACCTTGTATCTAATATGAACAAAGTAAATAACTTCATGTTAATTTGCTGCTGAAAGAATCCCTTCTGCAGATAAGGGTCTGGCAGCACATGTACTCACGCAATATAAAAGTGGCCAAGGACAGTCAGTCATTTACTGTTTGCCAAAGGTGCTATCATTAGTGAGACTGCCTTTGAAGGAAGTAGGAGTTGGATGTAGACTAGGGCTGAGATACAGTGCTTGCCATGAGGTGTCGGAAAAGAGAGAGTGGATAAACTAAACTAGAAAAATATAGTTGTGTCAGACATGCTGTAGTTAAAGTAATGTAAGAAAAAGCATTGTAACAGGATTTACTCATCACTCTGCACTTCCTCATGGCCAGGCATGGCATCACAGTGTCCTTGTGGGGTAGCAGCCCTTGTCAACAGTCACTCTGGGGCTGTGGTGGTTTCCTTCAGAGAACTCATCCCTCCAGCCAGGGCACAGTCTTTAGCCCATTCCTTCCAGGGTCAGGTACCCAAACTAAAGTTCAAAACTATCTTAACAGAAATAAAAAGCTTCCACCCTCTCCACAGCTCTTCTTCAGCGCGGTCACATTCAGTCTGCAGCCCCCTCGCTCGGCTCACCTACCCTTGTACGCCACTTCCTTGGGGCTGGTAGGGGAATCAACCGCTGGGGCTGGTAGGGGAATCCACCGCTGAGAGATGTAGCTTTGCCAATGTAAGTTTTAAGTGTAAATGAGCTCTTAAATTGGTCCTTCCCTGTCTCCCATAAGCCTGGCTGCTGGTTCAGTAGCAGTGTGTAGTCCAGCAAAGGTGAACTCATGTTCTGGTGAAAAGTCTCAAGGCTCAATTACCCTGCTGTGATGGACACATAGTTCTGGCCGCAACAATGGGGAGCCACCTCGGCATCACCATCCCCCTTTTTCAGAATTTCAGTAGTGTGCTGCAGTTTGTGGATTTGGAATTCATCAAAATAGAACTGCACAATTCTGTAATGCTGCTACTTTAATATAAAAAACAAGGAAATTTAAATGTATTTATGAAGGGGGGTTTGCATTCAAGTCTTAAAATTAAAAATCAAAAAGACAGGAAATAAAAGGTTTAGGTTCTCATACTAATATTAATTTGCTCAAATTATGAGGATGTGGTGTTCTGGATTATTAGCTATGTTACTGAATATAGCCCATGATAACACACAGTATGTATAACACATAGTACGTGCAACGTAAGCGTATTAAACTCTATAGCAATGTGTTAGAACCCTTTACTAATCAAAGCATGTGCAATGTCCTGGAGCAATTTGATCTCTCACAGCTAGCTGAGGAGTGGATTCAATGTTTGCAATTCTATTGGAGGAGGTGGGTTCTTTTGCTGACAAGTTCTCCTGGGAAAGAAGAGGTTCTATTAGGTGCATGTACTATAGAGTGGATTGTTATGGGGAAGGTTCTTTTGGGAAAGGGATGGTTCTATTGGGTACAAGTTCTATAAAGAGAGGGAGTTGTTCAGTGGGGTGAGTTCTGTGGGAGGAGATGGCAATTCTGTGAGTGGGTTCTATCAGGTGAGAGGGGAGTCCCGTGGGACAGGTTCCATGGGGCAGGTTCTATTGGTGAAAAGGAACCCCACCGAGAACTTCCCTCCCCCCCATAGAATCTGATCCTTCTCCATGGAACCCACCCTGTAGCACTCCCCTCTCTCTTATGGAACCCACCCCCAGGACTCCCCATGGGAAGTGCTATGGGGTGGGTTCTATAGGAGAGAGGGGAGTCCTACGGGGTGGGTTCCCAGGGGCAAGGGCAGGTTCTGTGGAGGGAGAGGGGAGTGCTGTGGGCTAGGCTTTAGGGAGCAGAAACAGGCTCGGGGGCGAGGGTGGGAAGCTGACGCAGGTTCTGTGGGGGGAGAGGTGAGCGCTGCCGGGATGGTGGCAGGGGCAGGCTCTGTGGGGGGAGAAGGGAGCACTGCGAGGCAAGGGGCAGGTTCTGTGGGGTGTAACGATGATGGTTCTGGTGGGACCCAACTGAGAGTGCCAATTCAGGACAAATTGCTTAAAGCAGAGCAGTTACAGCCCAAGGCTAGGGTTCCTTTGCACACCAAGGCAAACCAAACCAGCCAAACAGACTTTGTTTTTACCCCACTGGCTAACCACAAGTCACACAAGCAATTCCCTTAGATACTCCAGTTTCCCAGTATCACCACCAGTGCAACTCGTTATGGGGACGAATGGTTATGAAAACCAATACCCCAGTACAAGAAAAAAGGTTCTCTCGATCCCAAAGGACCAAGCCCCATACCCAGGCCAATCCACAAATCAGATCTTACCCCAAAATCATGCTGTTGCCAATCCTCTAGAATCTAAAATCTAAAGGTTTATTCATAAAAGGAAAAAAGATATAGATGAGAGCTAGAATTGGTTAAATGGAATGAATTATATACAGTAATGGCAAAGCTCTTGGTTCAGGCTTGTAGCAGCGATAGAATAAGCTGCAGGTTCAAATCAAGTCTCTGGAGTACATCCACAGCTGGGATGGGTCATCAGTCCTTTGTGTAGAGTTTCCATTTGTAGCAAAGTTCCTCCAGAGGTAAGAAGCAGGACTGAAGACAAGATGGAGGAGCTGTAGCAGCTTTTTATAGTCTCTTGTCATGTGGTCTCTGCTTTCTTTGTCCCAAAGACAAGCTGTCCATCACAAGGTATGGAAAAACCTCAGAGTTCTGCCCATAGGCAGGTCCCTGCATGCCTTGCTGAGTCACAACGTGTATCTGCCTTCTCTCAATGGGTCAATTGTATAGCTGATGGTCCTTAATGGCCAATAAAGCAGGCTAAGCAGAGCTGACACCAACTTGTCTGGGGTGTCACCCAGAAGCATAGCATACGTTTGAACTACAGATAGTATAGAGCAAATACTTATAACTTTAAATTAAAAAATGACAGATGCACACAGATAGCATAATCATAACCAGCAAACCATAACCTTGTTTTAGACACCTTATTTGACCCCCTTTATACAAGATTTGATGCCACTAGACGACCTTGGTTACAACAATGATCTATAAGGTCCCAGTTCAGGTCAATAACATCACATGGGAGAAGAGGGGAGTGCTGTGGGAAGGATGGCAGGGGCAAGGCTCTGTGGTGGGAGAGAGGAAGGCTGCCGAACAAGGGGTAGGGATAGGCTCTGTGAGGGGAAGAGGAGTGCTGCAGGGTGGGTGGGAAGGGCAGGCTCTGTGGGGGATAGGGAAGCTCCGTGGGGCAGGTTCTGTGGGGAGAGGAGAGCGCTGGGAGCAGGTTCTGTGGATGGAGAGGGGAGCGCTGCAGGGCAGGTCGCGGGGGAAGGGGAGGCTCTATGGGGGAAGAGGGGAGCGCTGCGGGAAGGATCGCGGGGGAAGGGCAGGCTCTGGGGGGGGGGAGAGGGGAGCGCCGCGGGGCGGACCGCGAGGAGAAGGGGAGGCTCTTTGGGGGGACAGGGGAGAGCCGCGGGGCGGGTCGCGGTGGGAAGGGCAGGATCTGTGGGGGGAGAGGGGAGCGCCGCGGGGCGGGTCGTGGGGGGGAAGGGGAGGCTGTGTGCGGGGACAGGGGAGAGCCGCGGGGGGGAAGGGCAAGCTCTGTGGGGGGGAAGAGGGGAGCGCCGCGGGGCGGCTCGCGGGGGAAGGGCAGGCTCTGTGGGGGGACAGGGGAGAGCCGCGGGGTGGGTCGCGGGGGAAGGGCAAGCTCTGTGGGGGAAGAGGCGAGCGCCGCGGGGCGGGTCGCGGGGGAAGGGCAGGCTCTGTGGGGGGAGAGGCCAGCGCCGCAGGGGGAAGGGGAGGCTGTGTGGGGGGAGAGGGGAGCGGGGCGGGTCGCGGGGGGAAGGGCAGGCTCTGTGGGGGGAGAGGCCAGCGCCGCAGGGGGAAGGGGAGGCTGTGTGGGGGGAGAGGGGAGCGGGGCGGGTCGCGGGGGAAGGGCAGGCTCTGTGGGGGGACAGGGGAGAGCCGCGGGGCGGGTCGCGGGGGAAGGGCAGGCTCTGTGGGGGGAGAGGCCAGCGCCGCAGGGGGAAGGGGAGGCTGTGTGAGGGGAGAGGGGAGAGGGGAGCGGGGCGGGTCGCGGGGGGAAGGGGAGGCTCTGTGCGGGGAGAGGGGAGCGCTGCGGGGCGGGTGCCCGAGGGCAGGGGCGGGCGGCCTGGCAGGCAGGCAGGCAGGCAGGCAGGCTGGCTGGGGAGGGGGCGGGGCTGGTTCCTCGGGCCGGCCCGGCGTGTTGGGCCCCGCGGTGTCCATGGTGACTGCCGCCCCCGGCCAGCGCTGGCTCTCGGGGTGCGGGGCCAGCAGACATGTACGACCGCGCTCCGCGGGCGCTGACTCGGCCCGCGGGGGGCACCGAGGCTCATGTGGGGCCCGGCTCCTATCAGCTGCAGCCCGGGAAACAGCAGAAAGCAGGTAACGGGCGGGGAGCGGCCAGATTCACTCCCGGGCTCCCCCTGCCCGCTCCCTGGCCCGCCCCTGTGCAGGGACCCGCCGTCGCACCCACTCCCCGGTGTCCGCTGCCGCTGGGGCTCGCAGGGACATCAAACAGCCCACGTCGGGGCTGCTACGGAGCGGTTACAACCCCAGGCAGGGTTGTGTAGGACGGTGCCAGTCACAAACCTGGGCTGCGCCCCCCTAGAACTAGGCAGCGAGCAAATAATAGGTAGCCCAAGTCGTGCAGCTGAAACTGATATTCACCGAGGTCTGGCAGAGAGCCCAGCCCTGAGCTGCTCCTGTTAAGGGCAAGGTTTGACCCAGAGAAAGGTCGGAGCATAGTGTAGGGAAAAGCTGCAGAAGGAGGGGTGCACCTCGAGAGTGCTATCTCCTTGTGAAAGGGGGAGTGGAGACAAGGCATAAGTAGTTTTTACTACAGTTTAGCTAATGGAGATCAATATATACCCTCCTCCCCACCCAGGGTTTACCTCACTAGCTACATAGAAGTAAAAACTACCCCTGCCATGTCTCTGCTGGGATTTTTCGTCAGGATAGCTGGTTGAGTTGGTTCTCAAAATGGAGATGATGTGATTCCTTTCTTCAGCTTGAACTATCTCTTCCTTCCACATATTTAAACATGGTTTACCTGATTCATATCTTGCACAGGTTTTACACTCTTGTAACAGTACTGACTTAAGCAGTGTTACTCCTAATTTGTTCCTGTGTGAGAGGAGAATTAGGCCCAGGCACTTTTTCCCAATGTCCTATGCTCTCCCCCCAAAAATACTTGTATATGGTATTTTTGATGGAGATGCAGCCCATGTGAGAGAAAAGTCTTGGAAATCCTGCAATGCAAGGTCCGAGGTACAAAGTCCAGCAGTCTGCCACACTGTTAAAATGATGGCTTTGTATTCAGAAATACCTTTTTTAATTCTCTTGTTGAAAAACCTTATCTAATTCTCTATCCCACTTTGACATAAATGAGTTTTCAGTAGGGTTCAGTGTGTAGCGGGGCTTTAATATATTTTACTAGAAGTATTTTTACTTCCTTTGTACGAAACGAAATTGGGTCTCCTTGGGTGGCTTTGGATTTCCATTTATATTCTTTTCAACAAGAGCAAGGCTCTGCAGCTGAAGATATAAACATATGGGGATATCAGACAAGTTATTTTTTTCTCTATTTAAAGGAGGAATGACTTGAGAATAGCTGTCTGTAGTATTGGAATCCTTCTTTCAGCCTAATTAGTGATATCTTAGAAGCAGGTGTATAGAACTCGGTCTCAGATACAAATTGAAGTTAAAGGAGCTATGAGTAACAGTCTCTTCCCAATCAGCAGTCAAAAGTCAAGATGGATATAGAGTTAAGTTAATATGTTCTTTTGTAGCACTTAAACATGGATTAATTATAAGGCCATGCCAGAAATACAGACTTCATTAGGTTGTCCCCTAGTGGCACTCATCAGAGGTACAGCCTCTGAAAACACCAAAACCCCCTAAATTGAGATGTCAGATACAATAAGATTTTACCTAATTTTAATTATCTTAATTTTATCTGTGAAATGGTAAATTAAATGCAGTGTTTATCCCTTTTAAGCCATATAACTGGTTTTAGCCCTTGAGGGCCATTTTGTGGATCTTACGAATGAAAGTATTAGTAATGGAAGTGAGGAGCATTAAAAATAAACAAATGTAACATTTCTTCTTTTATTTGCTCCTATTTCTTTACCTTCCCTCTTGCTGTCAACATTACCTTATCTCAGAAGTAAAATGAAAAATCCACTGGAAACTTCCCTAATGAACCTGAAGTAGGAGACTGCGTTGCGTTTAAATACAACTAAAGTAAATCCCAGTTGAAAATAAATTCAATTGTAATTAAGCATTACTTCATTTACAGGGAAGTTAACTCAATTTTAAACACTTTTCTATAATTTTATGTACATCTATCCAACCTTACTACATAATACCTGTGGCGTGCGGGATGTCAGACTAGGTGATCATAATGGTCATTTGTGTGTTTAAAATATAGGAAATCTATGAATAACTTTGTATAACATTTTATACAAACTAACTCAACTTCTTTATGAAGTTAAATAACATTGCTTAGAGTTAAGTAACAGCAGAAGGGGAGACAGAAATTAGGAGAAGTTGGTAAAGGAGAAAAGCTATGTTTTTACTCAAGATTTTAAATGAAATAGAGGATCAGTGAGGTAGAGAGATGCAGAAGGCCATGAGAATTGCCTGCAGCTGCAAAGGAGGCAGCCCCTTTACCAACAGTGGCCAGATTATGTGAAGGGATTGTGAGGAGCCTAGTGTAATCTATATAGAAAGGGAATGGAGCAAATTCATGGAGCATTTTAAAATCAGAAAAGGGAATTTTGAACTGGATCCTCTAATGAATGGGCAGCCAGTGTAGTTGTTTGAATATTGGGGTAGTGAATTTGCACTTCTCTGTACATGTGAGAAGGAGGTCAATAGCATTCCATGGATTGATTTTTCATTGCTTAATAATCTTTCAGTCAAAACTGGATGCCTTTCTAGGTCAACCAAATCAATAGAATTGATGCAGGAAGCATTTGGTGAAATTCTATGGCTTATGTTATGCAAGAGGTCAGACTAGAAGATCCTAATGGTCCCTCTTGGGCTTAAAATCTGTTAATTTCTTCTGAGCAAGCAGGAACCTGAAGATATAGGGTTTGGAGAAGCAATAGAGAATGGCCTTCGGTACTCTGTTAGCTGCTTCAGGTCTAAAATATAATTACGGAGATGGCTTTCTGCCTTATAAAATAACTTTATCGTTTTTCAGTCGCACACTCTAACATTATTCTTTATATATTTCCCATCTTTTCAATGGAGCAGAAAAATTAGATGAACCAAATGTTTTCATTACTGAAAAATGATTTTGATGCATATATGGACTCTTTGCTTTCCTGAACTCTTGTAAGTGCATATGTTTTACTCGGTTTTTTTCCTACCCCCCTCATTTGCAGATGGCTATGCTCCATTTCTTTCTTTGACAACTCGAGACTTTGCCTTTACTTTTCCAAACGCTGAGGTTGATGTTCCAGGACCAGGACACTATGATATTGCCAAAGTACAGGTAAAATCATAGAAGTTGCATTAAACAAGTTAAGAGAAAGGAAATTTGCTCCCTGACTTTCAAAACGGTAATAACAAATGGTGTTCATAACAAATTTCAGTGGAACAAATCAATAAACACCCTCCTCCTTACATTAAATTGGCCAGGAGTGAAAGAGACAGCATGATGGGAAGTGATCATTTGGACAAGAACTTTTATTTATATACATTCCTTTCCCCCTCTTTGTTCTGTCTCCTCATGCATGCCCCCTTTCCCCCACCTGCTCTACTTCTTTCCCCAGTGGAAAACTTACAAAAGAGCCCTTGATGTCCCCAAACATGATGTTGCTGGATGCTTGGTGACAGTTAAAAATTCATTTTTTTTCTGAGTGCTTTTAAGTAGCTGTCTGACTCCCTAGACGTTCTGTTGTTTTTATGCAGTTCCCTTCCAGTAGTAGTAGGTACTTGGTGTATAGTGTAGGTCAAGATTTCTTGGTGCCGCAATGTACTAACAGAGAATATCATTTTAAAAGAGCTAAGACCCATGAGGGTTGAGTAATGAATGCTATATTGATTTTGATAAATGAAACTGTTTAGTAATGGTTCCAGTAAGAATAAAGGAAGTTCAGGTTAATGCTGGATGAATTATTTGAGAGCAAAGGCAAAGGAACCTTCTCAAGTTTGCTTGGTAGGTTTCTGTATACTCTATTACAGTGGTGCGCAAACTTTTCCAGTCGTGCCCCACCCTTACCATTTATGGAATTTGTTGCTCCCTCCCTCCATTACTAGTAATCTGAAACTGTTTGGGTTTTTTTGCCAGGGCTCTACCCTGTAGCGGGACTGCCATAATAGTGGGAGCGGGATAAAAATTCAACAATGTGGGAGTGGGTATTGCAGGGTGGGATGGGAGCAGGATTAAAAAAATAGCCCTCCTGCACTGCAAGCATCATGAATGTCCCAGAGAGCAGCCACCACTTTCTGGCTGCCCAGCTCTGAAGGTAGCGCCGCCAGCAGCAGCAGTGCAGAAGTAAGGCCACCTTTACTTCTGTGCTGCTGCTGGTGGCAGTGCCACCTTCCACAGGCGCTGGCTTCCTCCAGGCCCCGGGGTGCTCAAATGCCCGCTCCACCCGAGGCCCTGTCCCCACCCGACCCCTTCCCCCAAGCCCTCACCCCTGCCCCACCTCTTCCAGCCCTAGAGCACACACAGAGTTGGGACCTATGCCACCTTCAGAGCTGGGCACCTGGAGAGTAGCAGCTGCTGGCCGGGGCATTCGTGTGGTTTGTGGTGTGGGAGGACTGTTTTTATTTTTATCCCACTCCCATACCAACCTGCAATACCCACTCTATTTTTATCCCACAATACCCACTCTCTTTTTATCCCCCCTCGCTATTATGGCAGTGGATCCTGCAGGACCTATGGGATCCCGCAGGACCCGTGGGATCCCAGTTTCTTGGTGCCCAATTAGAGAACCTCTTGCACCCCCCTAGGGTGGCATACTTCCTGTTTGAACACCACTGCTCTATTGTACGTGTGCTTTTAGGATTTCAGTAATAACGTTTGAGCATAAGCTTTCATGAGCTACAGCTCACTTCATCGGATGCATACTGTGGAAAATACAGAAGATGTTCTTATACATACAAACCATGAAAAAATGGGTGTTTCCTACCTACACCCCCCCCCCCACTGTTCCTCAGATGTTCTTGTTAAACCCTGGATTTGTGCTGGAAATGGCCCACCTTGATTATCATACATATTGCAAGGAGAGTGATCTCTTTAGATAAGCTATTACCAACAGGAGAGTGGGTTTGTGTGTGTGTGGGGAAAAAAAAGTGTGTGGGGGGGAGAAAACCTGGATTTGTGCTGGAAATGGCCCACCTTGATTATCATACACATTGTAAGGAGAGTGATCACTTTAGATAAGCTATTACCAACAGGAGAGTGGGGTGGGGGGGAGAGAAACCTTCTGTAGTGGTAAACACCCATTTTTTCATGGTTTGTATGTATAAGAACATCTTCTGTATTTTCCACAGTATGCATCCGATGAAGTGAGCTGTAGCTCACAAAAGCTTATGCTCAAATAAATTGGTTAGTCTCTAAGGTGCCACAAGTACTCCTTTTCTTTTTGTGAATACAGACTAACAGGGCTGTTACTCTGAAACCAATAATAACATTAGCATTAAAGAGAAGCTGGAATTTTATTTAATTCCTTCATTCTCCATTTATCTGAAAACATTGTTTGCTTGTTAGTTAAATTTAAATCTAATAAATATATCTATTTGAAATCACTTGAAAGGCTACAGAACTGAAACGTTTTAATGATTATATAGGTCCAGATTGTATCTGGCTGCTTTGAGGATGTTGTAAGGGTGGAAAGGGTACCAGAAGGCTCCCTTCACCCCCACATCCATGCGCAGGGATTGGCCACAATTGCAGGCCCTGAGCTCTTTTGAATACAGAGAGTTGATTCCTCCTAGCATTCTCCTGCGTGCTCAAAACACTCAGAAGTGGATGGTGGGGCTCCTGGTCACCCTTCCTGTATCTGCAGCCAAAGCTGGTCAGATGTGTGGGGAGAGTGTGTTGCTCCTTTGTATGCCAGAAGCTGAGGATGGGTACTGCTTTTCTGGGGCAGTACTGCTCATTACTACCGCCAAAGTGGGCCAGTGCCTATAACCCACAGTTGAAGTTGTTATAACTGTGTATTATAAGTAAGTCTGCACGTCAACAATCTCAATGTAAATACATAATTTAAATTTAATTAAGACGAGGTATTAAACACTTGAGTTTACAGTTCACTTTTGGAATTAAAACAAAACATGACTTTCATGCTATCTGTTAGCAATTATGAAATATGTAAAAACAATGCAATTAGTATACACATTAAACAGTTTCTAAAGTGTGCTGCTATTTTACAGTGGAAAAATTCATTATTATGAATATGTCATTGTAATGTAGTATATTTGTTTTTTGACCTTCTCCATTGCAGACTCTTTTAAGACTTGCTGACTACAGTTTACAGCCTCCAGTGGGAAAAGGCAGTAATGCAATCAATTTCATACTAGCACGCTGTAACAGCAATCATAGTTAAAAGTATCAGAAGGTCTCTTCAGTGCTCTTCCTCACATTTTGTCTTCTTGCTGAATCTTGTTCTGTTTTAATTTGTAGTGTGAAAAATTAAATAATCCCTCAAAATAGCAGTTTATGTATACTAATCTTTAATTGTAATTGTAAATTAGCTGTGTAAGGAAAAGGTACTTCAGGCTTTGGCAGCACTTAGGCCTTGTCCACACTACGGGGGGAGATGGGTCTAAGTTATGCAACTTCAGCTACATGAATAATGTAGCTGAAGTCGTTGTACTTAGATCTACTTACCACAGGGTCCACACTACGCGATGTCGACTGGAGACGCTCTCCTGTTGACTCCCCTTGTGCTTCTTGTTCAAGTGGAGTACAGGAGTTGACCGGAGAGCGATTGGCGGTTGATTTAGCGGGTCTAGACCGGAGAGCGACTGCCAATGCATCTATCGCCGCGCGTTGAACCCCCGGTAAGTGTAGACAAGCCCTTAGAGTTGATTATCAGTCATCCAGTGTGGAACTTGTAGACAGCCATTTTCTTTTATGGCAGGGTAGTGGTGGGGGGAAATACTATAAACGGTGCACAAGTACACCTGTTTTAGAAAGACATTTTATTCCTTTCCTCTCTGATATATCATAATATATTACTTTGTTTCATTAATATCACATTAATACTGTATTTCCCTGAAATCTGACATAATGCAGCACACATGATGGAATGTGATATGACCTAAAACAACACAGGTAAAATGAAGTAAACAAAGCAATTTCTGACATTTTATATTTCTGTAAAATTTGCATTTGTAGAGTAATTATAAAAATGCATTTCTGTAACTTCTGGTTTACTAATTAGTTATGGATAGGTTGTGCTGTTATTAATGATTGTCAGGTACAGTAGCAGCACTAATGCTGAAATAAGGTATTTGGTGCTCCTTTGAGGTTCTATCCCCAGAATATGTCTTAGTTCCCTTTAAATTGCAACATCGGGAGTACCTCATTTGTGTTTCTTCTACTGTGTTCTGAAGAAAATGGCAAAACCTATTCATATTATGAGCCAGCTCTAACCTCTACTATAGCTGCATGAGTTGTAATTCTGTAAGTACTGTCTCAAGGTGTCGGGCATCAGTAGCTCCTCCCTCCCCTTTGGACTTCTTCCTTACATCCCTTCACTTTCTTGAAGGCCTGTCAAAGACCTCAGCCCCCAAGAACGGACAGTGACAGGTACTCATTAGAAACCAAAGGTCACATAGTTGGTGGTTCTAAAGCTGTCATCATCTGGATTCTTATAATGGAACTTGTTTACTATTGGTGCTGCTGCTACTTCTCAATCATTGATCAGAAGAACACAACCTATTGATTCTGGACCCGGTGTATTGAAAATGCAGAAGCTTTTGTATGTACAATTCAACTCAAATTTGTTAAACATATTGATATTTATATAGAAGGAACCAGTGATCTAACTTTTGGTGGCACAGCATTAGATAGTAAGTTCTCTGGGGCAGAGACCATCTTTTTGTTCTGTTTGTACAGTACCTACCATGTTGGGCTCCTGGTCCATGTTTGGGGCTCTCTTAGGTGCTATTGCAATATGAACAAATAGATGATGATAATAAATTATATAGTGTTTTTCCTTTACTAGAAAAAGAAGAAACAACAACTAATATCTTATTGCATTAGAAAGCACAGGGATACTTGTAATTTGCTGAGGAGTACTGCTGTAAGAAATTTTAAAATAGCATTTCATTAGAGAATGCAGAGGTGGAACAAATATTTTCAGCCTCTTTGTCTAAATAGTTGCATTTCCTATTTTAAGTCAAGTAAAACAAAACTGAGAAAAGAAAATTGATCTGCATCTAGAGTATTTTAATATAAATTAGTGCACACTTTGTCAGCTCTTTGGTTTAAAGGACTGGGTATCAACTGTTTTTTTATTTTGTGAAGTTCTTGTCAAGTTCATAATTAATTTTACTTTATAATTTTATAGAATATTCATGTTTTCATATTTTTAGAATAATATAAAAGGTGGTGAGAGTCCGCAGAACAAAGAAAAACGTTTCAAAGAGATCCGTACAGAAACTCCAGGACCGGGAAGCTATAACCAACCTCCTGCTGTGGAGTTAGAGATTAATAACAGGAAGGAGAGAGAGCCTAAAGAACATCTTCAACAGGTATGTTAATAAAAAAGGACTATGCCATATTAATTGATCACAAATGTAAACATAAAATTTGTGAAAACATTAGTAAACATATTACTGAACTTAATCTTTTCAAAACCAGCCTCATGTAGTACAATTGCATACCTACAGTGATGCTCACAATTATCACAAGACAGATCAGTTGATGAGAGGAAGTTGAAATAATGCAGGGAAAATAAATACTGAAAAATGAAGCGAACAATAATCTGTAGAACTACTGTGAAACCATTTCAAATAAGAATAAATCTTTTAAAAGACTAATCTTCCAGTATACACTAAAACTACAATCTTCTCTCTGCCTGATTCAGAGGAGGGATGTGGATCCACTTCTCCTACCTCCCAGATGAGTGCCTCAATCACGATGCTGTAGAGTAATTCTCACTTCTTCTCTTTGGTTCAAGACACATTTATATATTTATGCAAAGTGGAATGGTGTCAACAGGCGAGGTTGAGGAAAATAGCATGTAGCCTGGTGGCTAGGGTGCTGAGCTGGCAGGGGAGAGAACCAAGTTCAAGGACCTTCTCTGAGGAATACTTAAGTGTCTACACAAAGTAGAAAGCTTCAATAGGAGAGATCAAGAGCAACCCAACCCAGAAAAATCTATAGCCTGGTGGTTCCGATGCTCACCTGGGAGTGGGGAGGTAAGACTTCAAAGCTAGCTCAGGTATGCCAACCTGTGCTGCAATTACACCTCCCTACTGCTGTCAGAAGGTTACTTGGTGCTTCCGCATTGGCTACAGTGCATGTGATTACCTGTACTGGCCCTTTCCCTGGTAGAGGAGTAGAATTTCATGGGTTGTGCTTGAGTAGTGTGCAGACTCAAAAATCCATGTTCAGCACAGATTTGGTGGTCTGACATTTACTGAAATAGGGTATAGCAACATTTTAATTTATATGGGTTAAATTTATAGTTACCAGAAAGTTTTTTTAAGAGCTTCTGTAGTTAACTTTAAATAGAGTAGAACTCCTTAGATGTGTTTTGCATCATTGCTTTATTGTATCATTCTTTATGTGTCAGCTTTCCTCATGTGACTTTTATTTGTAATTTATCAGCATGGCAGTTGAATTACCTTTGGGTCATAAATGACAAAAGTTTATTGCACATTTGGTAGTAATAGATCACTGAAAGAAATGAGATTACAGTCAATTATATAGGAAGGTAATAATGTAATCATAAAGATTACTGTGTAAATTTTATTTTACCAAACTATTCGTAGAATTTATATCCATGCAAATAAACAGATCAGAAATTTGAAGTTAGCTGAAAAGGGATAATATCAAATTGGGGAAATCTACACAGAAAAATAAAGTTAAATTTTCACTCTGCCAATAAGATTATATGAACGCAAAGTGCTGTACTGTTATCCTTCTACGTATAAAGAAAAGGAGTACTTGTGGCACCTTAGAGACTAACCAATTTATTTGAGCATGAGCTTTCGTGAGCTACAGCTCACTTCTGTAGCTCACGAAAGCTCATGCTCAAATAAATTGGTTAGTCTCTAAGGTGCCACAAGTACTCCTTTTCTTTTTGCGAATACAGACTAACACGGCTGTTACTCTGAAACCTTCTACGTATGTGACATTATAACGTTCAGTGGTTACTTAATGATTCACTCGTACACTGACATCTATTAAAAGTACAATGTGCTTTAAAACATAAAAATGAAAAGTTAATATTCTAGACCACCTTTTTAATAAAGTGTAGGGCTGTATCTTTTTCTTTGGGTGCATTCACCTTTGGTTTATGCAACATGCGTGCCATGTGTTTGTGATCTATTTTAAAGCACAATCTAATTGTTTTTACAGAGGACTGCTGGCAGTATAAAAGTCTACCGAAAAGTGGATGGTCCCTCTATCCCTTCTCCTGGCCAAGCATTTGGGTATGAAGAAGCTGAAGATGGCACTCTTATTAAACAATACCCACCTCAAAGAGATGTGACATTGGGTCCAGCATACTATCGACCAGTAATTGTAAGTAATTTTAGAACAATTTCATAAGACTGGCCACAGGATTACAAAATAATTTAAGGTTGATCTTTAACTATAAAAGGTTGTCATGACATATTTTCTCTTAAGAGTGAAAGTTAATGGTGTTGGTATCATTATATATTTTGGGATGGCTATAGAGCCAATTTCATTTTTGATTTATATGGGTGCAACTCCATTGAAATAAGTCGAGTGGGATCTACTTCACTATTGTGGAATTTGGCAGAAAGAATAGAAAACAGTATAGATTTAAAAGGTTGTTGCTACTACCTCTTCTAGTTCCACCTGGCTGGAAAGGGAACACGAAAGTAGCCACTAGTTTAGCAAGCAATGCTGTAAAGAGCACAAGGGCTGAATTAAGAAGGAATGTGCTTGTGGGCTGGACAAACCGTCCTCTTCTGGTCCCACCAGTTTCTGCAAAATTCAAGATTTCTTTTTAAAATAAATTCAGTTTCTAGCTCTTTTGGTGGCAAAGCTATCCTTCTGAATACCAAGTTGAGGCAGTTGTCTTAATGAATTTACAAACTGAAACAATAGCTTTAAGGGATACAAACTGACTGATATATTGGGTCCTACCAAATTCATGGTCCATTTTGGTCAATTTCACAGTCATTGGATTTTAAAAATAGTAAATTTAATGATTTCAGCTATTTAAATCTTAAATTGCACAATGTTGTCATTGTAGGGGTCTGGACCCAAAAAGGAGTTGGTGGGTGGGGTTGCAAGGTTATTGTAGGCGGGGTTGTGCTTCCCATCCCAAACCATCCTTACTTCTGCACCATGCTTACTTCTGCACTGCTGTTGGTGGTGGTACTGCCTTCAGAGCTGGACAGCTGGAGACTGGTGGCTGCTGGCTGGGAGCCCAGCTCTGAAGGCAGAGCTACCACCAGCACAGAAGTAAGCATGGTGCAGAAGTAAGGATGGGATGGGATGGTATTGCCACCCTTACCTCTGTGCTGCTGCCCACAGAGCTGGGCCCTCGGTCAGCAGCCCCCACTCTCTGGCCGTTCAGCTCTGAAGGCAGCAGCGCAGAAGTAAGGGTAGCAATACCACAACCCTTCTAAAATAATCTTGCAACCCCCCCACCCCACCACCGCAACTCCCTTTTGGGTCAGAACCCCAATTTGAGAAATGCTGGTCTCCCCCCCGTGAAATTTGTATAGTATAGGGTAAAAGCACACAAAAGACCAAATTTCACGGTGGGGAAACTGGATTTCACGGTCTGTGATGCGTTTTTCATGGCCGTGAATTTTGTAGAGCCCTACTTCTGTATCTAAACAGGCTGTTTATGCTGAAGCAAGTTAGAAGTTTTGACAAACTATTTTGATGTTGATAATTTTAGCAAAAATATTCATTTCCTTTGGGATTGCAGCCAGAGCTAGAGTGGAATACTACCATTCTTCCCCTTCACCCCAGTCTCTTCCCTGAACGAGTGGTAGATGAAATAAAACTAATGGCAAGTAAATAATAGTCAAACTCTTATCCATAGTTTGCTTTGTAGTCTTCTGTATTTTTGTCAGGTTGCTTTGCATGGTGCATAGAGTAATTAATAATCTCATTATTTGCCAGTTATCACAAAGGATGATGTGGGCTGCTGGGGCAACTGAGAGCAGGGAAAGCTGTCTCTTTTGTATTCTCAATGCATCTCCTGCTAATCCAGGGCAGTGTGGAGGAAAAAGAGGAAGCAGCCACACTTGAATGTAGATCGATGAGGAAGAGGGCAGAGTGGGGAGAGAGACAGAGCAAGCTGGGGTGGGGAAGACAGGAACAGGAGAAGAGGGAGATGAGGACATAAGGGCACAGGCTGGAGTAGGACATTCTAAAGTTTGGAGGCAGGACGGGGCAGGCTGGGAAGATGATGCCGAAGGGTCTATAACCATTAGAGCACAGTCCCCTTCAGAACCTGGAATACTTGTGTAACATTTTCATCATCTTATTTTAAAGCGGTATGATTTTGACTTATGTTTTGTAGTTTCTCTGCAAGGGCTTGGTCTTGCAATGTGCTGAGCATTTGGCTCAAATCCAGCAAAGCACTTAAGTGAATGTGCTACTAAAAGTATATGAATAGTCTCATTGACTTTAATGAAACTTCTTACATACTTAAAGTTATGAATGGGCTTAACTCCTATGCTTTATCTGGGGCAGACTGCTCAGACCCTTGTATGACTGTATCTCAAAGTTGAAAGTTTATCCTGAAGTTTAGAGACACCACTGCACATGCCTCTAATTTGAGGTTAATTCTTTTGTAAAGTGATTTAATAATGAGTAACACTGTCTGGAGAGACATCTGAGGGAAGTCTTGTTCACTTGTAATTCAACCCTGGTTGATTACAATTGCTTATATGCTGGAGATTGGGAAATGGCAGTAGAGAAACACTGTCTTGCAGTCCTACTCCCTGAAACACAAGAGCTTTTATGGCTGTTTTGTGTTTTCAGGGTCTTAATTTGCTTTGGCACCATCATTTATTTTTTTAAAGAGTAAAGCATCACTGTAAAAAACAAACAGAATACCCCGAGTATCTTGCCCATATGTTCAGGGTTTAGCTGATAGCCATATTTGGGGTCGGGAAGGAATTTTCCTCCAGGGCAGATTGGAAAAGGCCCTGGAGGTTTTTCACCTTCCTCTGTAGCATGGGGCACGGGTCACTTGCTAGAGGATTCTCTGCTCCTTGAAGTCTTTAAACCACGATTTGAGGACTTCAATAGCTCAGACATAGGTGAGAGGTTTTTTGCAGGAGCGGTGGGTGAAATTCTGTGGCCTGCATTGTGCAGGAGGTCAGACTAGATGATCATAATGGTCCCTTCTGACCTAAATATCTATGAATCTCTGAATCTAGTATGTTCTTTAGTAAAATCTGGAAACTTTAATGAAAAAACCCAACATGAGTCCAAAGTAAAAAAGGACCCAACAGAGAAGTCTGTACAACTCACTAGTACAGAAATGGCATCTCTGTTAGACTTTTGGCCACCACCTTTCCTGTTTTAATCATAATGCTTACCTGCCCATCAGAGACTCTACTTTTTTTTTTGCAGTAGAATGTCAACATAAATCAGGAAATAGTATGGGTTAAAATGTTCACAGATTTCTTAGGAATTTAGCTGTTTGACTTCCATTAACATTTATGAGAATTAAACATCCAAATCTCAGTTGATTTGCAAAGAATGTTTATTCCAAGGGACATTGGGACCTTGTCTTTATTTTTTAAGTGTGCTGTGAAGACTTGTTGTCCAAATTTTGGTTGTTTTAGTTTGATCCCCAATGACTGCCTACCCAAAACATTAGTTATTGTCTTCAAGGGTTTTCAGACAGATAAGTCCCCTCTATAGCTGAAAGCCCCTGAAGCCAATGATATGTCTTTGCTGCAGACAAAGTATTCTCTTTACTGTGGAATAACTAACATACATTAGCTGTCCTGCTGTAAAATCCTAGTGAAGACATGGCAATGTAGTTTTTACCACAAGGTTAAATAGAGAATTTGACCACTGATGGGGAGTATAGGATTGACCTTGCTTAGCTCACCTTGCAATTAAAAACATCAGTGCCATGTCTTCACTAGGATTTTGCAGTGGGATAGCTTATCTGTGTTAGTTATCACACAGTAAAAACACAACTTTTTTGGCAGTGAAGACAAAGCTATGTGTGGTGTGTCATTTGTTGGTTCTCTCACATCAAGCTTATATGGTGATTTCTGCTTTAAAAGATTTGTAAGTTAACAAGGATTTTCTATTTATGGATTTCTGGTGGGATGACTTTGTTTTTGGTGATCAGCTGGAGTGGATTTGACCAAATGTCTGGATCTCTCAGAGTTAAGGAATTACACGTTTGTAGTTTATGAAAATTAAACTGAATTAAAACCAACCAAGGCAATATGTTAGACTGACAAATTTTTCTGCATAAACAAAACAAAAACAGTACAAATGTATATAAGTCACTAGTCACTTAATGTAGCTCATCTGCAAAATGCATGTGATGCAAACGTGTTTAGATTCCGTGCTCTTGTTCTAGAAGAGGTCTCTTGAAGCTTTTCCTTTTTCTTTTGTCTTGTGTAAATTTTTGCCCATTTCTATTTGTTGTCTGTGACAGGGTGCTATCAGCAGCATCCTAATCACTGACATTGCTTCAGCCTGGAGAAGGCAGCAGGCCCAGCTGAGGACAATTATACACTTTCTGTATGGGGAGTGTGAGAACCTGGGTGACCATCACTGGGCTAACAAGGTAATTGGGGAGAATATAAGGGGAGGAAATAGAAAGCAAGGGGTAGCTCAGAAAGAGGCTCAGAGGGTGAGCTTGTGTGTGGGAGTGAGAGCTGCATGGAGGCCTACTGTTGCTGTAAACCTGCAGTGAACAATGAATGTTATTATGTAAGAGAGGAATAAATACATACCTTGATGAAAGATAAGCAGTCTGGTGTGTGTTTGTGACTGTGAAACTACCTAAACTAGACAGGTAGTGCAGTTCACTGGGTAGTGATGAAGATGTCCTGTGAGTGTCCCAGTCAGTGGCATTTGTCTTGAACAAGATGCAATACGAAGTTCTGTATTTTAGCTGAATGGCATATAATCACTGCTCTTTGTTACAGTTGCATTGTGGGTTTGAGTCATTTACAGATAGCCCTTATTACTTAAAACTTCATCTTATTCATCGTAACAGGAGACAGTAATTTTTAGTTTGTAACTAACAAAAATAAATATGGGAATAATTCAGCACTTCTTTGTAGTTACTGTTTATTCCCTGTAACTATTTTTCCAGCAAGTGCATTAGGGGGCAGCAGAGTCATTACGTTGACTCAGTTCCTTATGATTTCCAAGTGTTATATGCTAACATTGAACAGGAGTTGAAGTTGTTAGCTTTTCCATTTGAAATCCCATTTTCTATTGGTGTATTATGCTGCTACTACAGCAGAGTCTTCATGTAATACTTCACATTTTCAAAGCACTATGCAAACATAAATAACCTCTCAAAATACCTATGTGATTAAGGTACATTTTATTTCAGTTTACAGATAGGTTAAATGACATTCAAAGCTGCACAGTAAAATTAGTGTTTGAGCTTGGATCAGATTTAAGAATTCCTGGCTCAGGAATGTTTCACTGGAGCATTCTACCTTACTGTATGTTGGTTGTTTAAAAGGGTGGAAAAAAGCACTCTGGCAAAAGCTTGCTATACAAGGTTTTATTCAAAATTCACATTTCTGTATAACTTTAAAAATCATATTTATTTAGACATTTTACATTCTAAATGTAAAAGAATAAATTAAAGTTTCCAAAAACTTAAAATGGTTTTGATTTTTAAAAAATTGTCAATCATTTTGTAATTGATAAATCTGAATATTTTTTTAACATTTTGATCAATACTGAGATTAATGGACACAACAGGGTTTCTGAAATTTTGGATAGAGAATTCTGTACAAGTTACTTTATAAATGCCAAATGGTGGTGAAAAGAATTTTTAAAATAATACTGTGGCTATGATTGAGTTGAAGAAAGTTTTCTCCACCGCCAACATAGTTTCGTCAAAGTCCTGACTACTGGTTCTCTATACTGCATATATATTTGGGGTGTCTTCACCCTGACACAGTCAAGTATTTTGCACTGTGAGACTTTTCTATCTATTTGGTGGACAAGTCTGATTGTATTCATACAGGGTTGACTGCTTCCGAGGTAACTGTTCTGTGACAAGGTAGACAACAAATGTTGAGAGGTTCTGTGAGAACTTTGGATTTCAGTTTATAAACTCGGTGTGTATCCTTCATTGGTTGAAGAAAGGGAAAAAAACCAACAACTCACCTTGCAAGGGAATACAGAAGAATACGGGTTCTCTTATTGGTAGGGATTATCAACACTTCTCTACACAAGGTGCTTAAGTGTTTTTCTAAATGAGTGTAGATAATCTTGCCAATAATTTCTGTCTCTAATTTGCTTTCTTTAGGAATAGGTTATGAGAAGTTAACAGTGAGGCAGTTCTGCATTTTTTTTTTTTGCTTGTGGTGGTTTTTGATTTGTTTGTTTGATTTCCTCAATCATTTTAGCCTGATTTTAGATCTGGATACCGTTTTTGGGAATTGGCAAAGACCAGGTGAGAGCCTGGCTGTGCTGAAGGCAATAATAAAACTCTCACTGACTTGGGTTACAGCCTTGTTCAGGATAGAAGTAATCATGTTTAGGTATTTTCATTCTTCTGTGTCTGACAGGGCTCAAAGGGTCGAACTGGGCAACTGCTCATTTGTTTTGAGGGCTCTCTTACATAGAGGTACTTTAAGGCTATGATTTGTAACTTTTGTTTCAATATAGAAACAGTTTGTTATATATTACAGATGATAATCTTTCTAACCAGGTGTGGTTAATACTGTAAATAGTTTCTGTAGGATTTGTTAATATCTTGATTTTGAAAATATTGCTTGTGGGACTACATAAGCAATAGCAATCCCAGTCTGTGTTTTCGTCAGTGAATATACATGGTAGACATACACCAGCATTTCAGAACTGGAGAGTTTTATTGTACTAATAAATGAGTTCCTTTTTTTATAATTTTTTTGAAAATTTGATTTTAGAACACCTATATATTTACAAAAGGTGTATCTGTTTAAATTATAGTTTTTACTTATTGTTTCCTTTCATCCAATAAGAGGCTTAAGTGTTTTACAGTTAACAAAACAATATAAAACAATATTAGAAAAGAAATAAAATGATAAAAAGCCCAAACAAAGTTGACAATATATTTAAAATATTTTTCAGGTATTCTTTTCTTTCAGTATGTATTATGCAGTGCCTGTGATAGTCTGTTTTTCTATTTCTGCTTTCTCTTTTTCCTAGATTACTGAGATTCTTTGCTTATAGAGAGATGGTGTGGGAGAACTGTATAGTTTTTCTCATATTAATGTGTGCATTACTTCAGTCCAGACCTTCCCTTCTGATCCTTCTTTCCCTCATCTGCTACTGTTCTCATGTGACTCCCTGGGGTTGGCCTAGTCTTTTCCCATGGGTACTATTTTGGATAAGCAATTGAATTCCCAAAGCACTCTGAGTTTCATCCTGATCTAAGGCCTCAGTCCAGCAAAGCACTTAAGCAAGTGTATAACTATAAGCATGTGCATAGGCCTGATGACTACTACTCACATGCTTTAAGATAAACATATTTAGGTACTTTGGTCGATTAGGGTGGCTTATATGCAGTACTAATAAAAATCTGTCGCTCCTCCTTGTGATACTGGGCCAGACCCTTTGATACTGATGGAGCTCTGCAGAGACTTTAATGAAAATAACCATTTGCTATTTTTATAATACAAATACTTATGTTGTTTAAACTGATCACAGTGCTCTAAGAGTTAGTTTTAAAAAAAGGTGGTTTATTTTCTGTGTTTCTTCCAGGGAGCCATGTGAAGGGTTCACATGTTGGCAGCTGCTGTGATGTACTGGTGGGAGTGTCAGGCTGGGACTTAGGGAACTCTTTGGAAATCGGCTGTTTGCCCATAAAATAGTGGTTGGAGGGAACTGTGCTGGTACAATGTGATAAGGACAGACTAGATGAATAGAGCAGCAGAATGGAGAGGTCTGACCTGAGAGCTGCTCTCTATTCTAAAGTAACAGGATCTGCAAAAGGCTTACTCCCATTGTGAAGATGGTGGCATTAGCAGCTCAAGTTAGGAAAAGGGAAGAAAAATAGCTAAATCAGGTGTATTATTTTTTTAAAGATTTCTTTAAATATATTTTAAAATACATTATACAAAAGTATAGTTTATTTACACTACTTCATGAAATATGTAATTTGTGAGTGAGCTGGTTATAAAGGTTCCATAAGCCGTGTGTATGTGTAGTTAGTTTGTCCACATCTTCAGGCAATTAGGTCACAGCTTTAATCCAAGCCATTTTATGACAACACATACATAAAGTTTTAGGTAACATTTCAGAATATGAAACACACATTTTTCGTCCATTTAAAACAGCATGTGGAATCATCCCAAATCTGCTTTTCAAAGTTGGGTATTCAAGCTAAGAATACAGCTGGAGTCTGACACTGACATATTAGCTAAAGTTGGAATCATGCTGGGAACTACCTGCGTGCTTCAACACTGGAAGGCAGTCCATTAGTGCCTGAAATTAATGCACTCTGGGACTTTTAATTCTTCACGGAATCTATTTCCATATTTAATTACGGGAAAGTCATAGAAAAAAGTTACAAAGCACCTTCTTCATCTATTTCATTGTCAACGGGAGTGGCGATTAGTAATTCTTCTTCAAGTTATACTGCAATGTTCACTTAAAATAATGCAGCTCCTTGCTGAGTTTGCTTCAATTAAGCCATATTTTATTTGCTAATGACTTACCAAGTTGACAGTGACCTTGAAGTTGGTATTGTCAACACTTCTTGGCATAAAGAGCTTGGTGATTTAGAGTTATTAAGAGTGCATCAATTTATTCTTCAGTCTATGACAGTATTTCTAAAAGGCTTTTTAATTCCATTACAGATGGGATATTTTACCTGAGTAATGCAAAGGGTAGTGAGTTAAGTAGCAGTCAATTTATATTATTTTTAATGCAGAGTTTTAATCTGTGTATATAAGATGATGATGTTTTTAAAGTGTTTTGAGGTTGAAAAAGAATAGGCAGTTATTGGATCACCTTTAAAATTGTGGAACTGCTTGAATCACTAAAAATGCTCTCTTGATGTCAAATGTTTGTGGATTCGAAGATTCTTGCATATTTCTAAACATTTAAGTATTGGATTTCAGTGTGGAATGAAAAAAGCATACTGTATGACACTCCATCAGGAAAAAAATCTCAAAAATTTAAAAAATGCGTAGATGATTTAATCTTTGTCAAAGCCACTGGTGACAGTAACATTGAGCTTAGTAATAAATGAAAAGTTAATTCTTTATGAAGGTTGTTCAATAACCTTAAATACAAGAGATTCAGTAATTCATTTACATTTATATAGGTTTATAACTTTGTATACTTTATCAGATAATCATGCCATGATAGTAAAACTAAAGGTCTGCATAATTATGAAGTAAGCTGTAGGGGCTGAGTAGAAAGTTTTAGGTCATTAAAATAACATATAGGACAAATCACTGTGATAATGAACTTTAGAGTGTCTGTCATTAAAACTACTTCTGTATTTCTCAATTCATTGTTTTGCCACACTTCCCTTTTCGGAAGGTGATGTTGCATGTCTTTTTAATCCAAATACACAATGCATACATAATTAAAATGCCAACT